CAATAGAGGAGATTCCCTCTACCAGGAAACTAGGACAGACCATAACAAACGGAGTATTGAATGATCGTCATACCATAAACAGACTCTTTAGAATAAGTCTACTTCTTCCAATTCTTTAAGACTCAAACTTGGAAAAATCATCTCAAGCCGTTTGTATTACACTCCAAAAATGCAAACAACACTCAACCAATTGAATGATACACACCACAATTGTGAGTTAATCTTTCTAAATAATATTAACTTAACTCTGGTTGATACATATCTATTGCATACAACCCCTTGGATTTCTTTTCTACAACAGAACAAGAGTTCCATGTTATCATAGACTTGGTAATCATATCAAGTTTGAGTAAACAACCTTCATCCAGTTTATTAGAAATATCAGCCAGATATATTGAGAAAAATAAATTCTCAATACACAGATGTCAAGACATTATATCTGACATTTCTTCAAGGCCTTCCAACTATAAATTAGAACTCTCTTTTAACAGCAACATCGCCTGTAATTCGTGTATACACGCACATTACTCCCTCTGTTCCAACTCAATCAGATCATGTTCCATTTGAATAAGCTCACATAAATCTAAACAAAAGGGTCTACTAGATGGCAGAGAGAATGTCCTTGACATTTTAACTTGACCTCTATGCACAAGGAACCTGGTTGATATAATAAGTATCCACTAGGTCTTAGAGCTCACCATCTGCACTCCTGCTTACTTGGATCAAAAATAAATTGACCCAAAGAAAATCCAACAGACTGATCAGACATATTCAAAATCAGATGTTGCACCCTTGTTCAGATGGCCATGCACACACAAATCATATATTTCTTCGTGTTAAGACATTAAGGCTGACATTCTTGACTCAACTTGCCATAAACTATTATGACTTTCTCTTGATGACTTAGTTGATAAAGCCTTATCAACCCTTTCTTGAGAATAAGCGCATTATAACAAAAAGATTAAGCTCTAGAATTGCCTCCATGATAAATCTGAAAACAATCTCTTCAAAAGAAAAAATAAATTTCTCTTGTCTTCCTAGAGTGTCTTCATCATGATTACTTTCTCTTCTGAGCTCTTTTCACAGATAGAAGTGCATTTATGAGTGGATTGAAAGAGATTTCAAGTATCTTTGGCTACTTTATACGTGATAAGAGTGCTTATGGATCATAATGTGAAAGAATCAATATAACCTCTTCTCTTTGTCTTACTCCTAGCTGGTCCTATACTTCTATAAACACTGGCACCATCTTGCATCATTAATCTCAAGCTATTCCAAGAGTAGTTATTCCTTGGACCATAGAAAAATAAACACACACCAGACACATATGCAGCGAAACAAATCACATCCTCCACAACCTCCAGGCAGGATGTTAGAAACACCTTATATGACATCATGCAAAATAGACATCCCCAAAATCAACTAGAAGATAATGATTAGACATAACTCCCTCTGTCAAATCAAAATCCTCCTCCTTCTCAAGAGAAGATCACCAGAAGACAAACCAACCTGAACACCATAGGTTCACACAGCAGAGGCACGTGTAGCAGAAAATTGCCTCATAATTAACACCACAACCATAACAACAACTACAACCAACACTTTGTTCCTTCAAGTCCAATGCACCAGAAAGTATCTTCCCTAGATCTCACCCAGAACAGAACATGATGCATCCTCTGATACCAATTGAAATTCTAGTATACAGATAACAAGTGTCCTAACACATGTTTAAAACATTGATATCTGTTTAACAACACAAGGACATGACAAAACATACTGATATAAAACTTATTAGTCTAAAGTCGTGACAGATGTCCCAACATCTTGTAAGACATGTCAATCAATCAAGAAACAAAACTGCACAATGCAGAATGATAATAACACAAATATATGATGACCCAGTTTGGTGTATAATAACACCTACTGTGGGGGCTACCAAGTCAAAAAGAATATTACACTATCAGTAGTATTATTTTATGTAAACAACCTTAGATTTACAAGTAAACAACCTCTGATTTACCTAATCACTACCCAATGCAATCTTTATCTCAAAAACCCGTCCAAGATAAGAGAAACCCATCTCACTCCCTAAATCACCTCAGTGATATCTAACAGCCGCAACCTCAGGTGACTGCATCAAACTACTTGAAATATACCCCTCTCAAATAAATTTCAGCCAAGACTATTGACTAAAAAATAAACTTGGATTTTCTTCAAAGCTTCATCCAAGAACAATATACAAGTCATTACTTAAAGGGTTCTGAATCTGCATAAACAACTATGTCTACCACAATTCATCAATTCGATACAAATGGTGACTTACAACACAAGAAAGTACACGACTCTTAAAACCCTAAACCCTTATCTTTTTATTTACAAAAGTTTTGCACAAGGAATATTTACAAAGCCCTAGGTCTAAGGGTGCCTTTTATAATCTTCAGTTGTCAATGGGTTTCGAAACACCAGTATATCAATTGCTGAAAATCTGCAGAATCTTCTGCATAAAATAGAGCTCCAATAATTTATTTCCTAATTTGTCTCTACAAATAGAAACATATAAACCTCCTTGAAATCAGCTTAAATCTCTTCAATCTTCAACATGGGCACCACATAGGATATCATAATATTCCCAGAATATTCTGCATCTGTTAATTTTAAACTGATCCAACAACTCAGCCCAACACAGTCACAATATCGAATGATTATGCATAGGACATATTTATTTGACACGTTTATTCTGATGATAGAACTACTTTGTTTTACATGTTGTTCTCAGCAAATTAGTTTTACCAAAATTAGTCAAATCTTTAGAACTTTCAGAAACTGAGTGTGTTTTGAAATGAGAAAAATCTCTTTTATTGAAGAAAAAAAACCACTAAAAAGGAAACAAATCCATTGGTATTTTTAATGAGTTGATCAATTAAAATCATGTACTAATTGATTAACCAATGTAAATTATGAAATATTAATTTTCTACATTACTTAATCGTTTATCACTCCCTTTAATTGATTAAGAGACATTTCACTTTGATTAAATCAATTAGAAGGACCTTTTGATCGATAAGCTACTATATTTTACCTTCCTAATTATTTAAACAAACTTCTAATCAATTAAGCGCTTGCCCAAATTTGTTTTACAAAGTTTTATAAAAAGAGAAGAGGTTGAAAAATATCGTGTGTGTGTGCATGTTTGTATTTCTATGTGTGCGTATTGCCTTAATATCTTAAAATTTACTGTTGTTCCTTTAAAATAAAGCGTTTAAAACTAGGAAAAAACCTAAGTGTAGGATCAGGTGAGACTTTCACATCTTTAACTTCAAGACTTCAAACTCAAGATCACAACTTCAAGATCAAACCTTCAAGGCTTCAAATTATTTTACTTGATTAGACTTTTTCTAGCACCTTCAATTGAAACTCGACACTTTTGACTGCTGAGACTTAAGATATCTCTTTCTTGTTTAGATGTCAAAATCATGAACATTTAGAAAACCACTTGACATATGTCATCAACACCACCATTTACTTGACTGTTGTTATCAACACAAGTTATCAGTTATCATCGTCAAAACCATTTGAGGATATTACCTGCACAACACATAAAACCACACCTAAATAGATGAAGGCAATTGCGAATTAAACAAATGATGTCGTGTGGTGGTATGGTTTCTTAAAAAGAATATTTTCTCACGCTTTAGGGTGCCCCGAGCGTTAATAACTATTGAATGAACCCACTTTCTCTACCAAAAGATGGAAGGCTTATGGAGGAAATATAATGTATAACACATGATTGCTACGTCTTATCACGCTCAGGAGAGCGGTCAAATGAAAGGTTATAATAAACAAATCCTAGAAAAAATAGTTAACGTCTCTAGAAAAGATCAGTCAGCCAAACATGGTGAGGGTTTGTTGACTTACTGGGCTGCACTCAAAACACCATTATATATTTTCACTCATCAACTTGTTTAGTGTAAACTTGTGCCTTATCCCTAGAGCTCAAACACAAAGCATTATGGGTCTCAAAACCCCTCAATATAATATTTCTAAAGTAGGAGAATAGAAAATTCTTTAACTCCATGAGGTGAATGAATTCCTAGGCTTTGCTTAATTCAATGTTAAGGCTATTTTTTGAAAAGTTAAAGTCGAGATGATTAGGGTTGTTTAAGATTGCCAAACGATTTTCAAAAGGAGCAATTGGATTGGAAAATGATGCGATTGGTAGAACATTTAAGGTCAACGGAAAAAGGTTGAAACATTATTATGTAAGAGAATCAATTATTCCTACATAAGTCATTCACTTTCAGACCACTTAAAATGTAGACCGTCAAACTCGTGACATCAATAGAAAACAAGAAAAAGAAGAAGACGAGGAAAAATGAGAAGATTGAAAAAAAATGAAGAAAATAATACTGGAAAAAAAAAACAAGAGAGGGAAGAGAAACAAACTTTAGAAAAAAAATAAAGAATTTCACCTTTGTGAAAATGTAAAGCGTTTTTACATAGAAGTGAGACGTTTCCCCCATCATTCAGGAAACGCATGACATTTAAAATAAATGTCCTCTATTTTTCTAACGGTCAAATTCAATAATAGGAGATGGAGTGGACTATATAGATGAAGGATTTTGATCGATATTATACTCTTGTGTCCATTATCAATTGATGAAGTTTAATGTTTGTACAGTAAAAATAACATAAAATTATAAGTTATAACTAGAATATATACTTAATATAAAGAAACAAGATTTGGGGACACATGAAGAAAGTAAAAATGAAAATGAGTAGGGGCATATTTCTAAAACACTTGTACTACATAACGTAGCATGCCCCAAAGAACATAACATTATTTATCATAATCTAATATCTTTTCACAAACAAATTAATCAAAGAATGAAACACATGATAGCACTTTTGCAGGACAATCCTCCCTAATGACACAAAGCCACCAGAATGTGGAGGCCAACCAACACCATACAAAGATGCAACCTTGTTGAATTACGAGCCTACTACGCCTCTTCTGTGACAGCAGCAGGATCTTGTTCCTCTTCCTTTGTCTCCGCGTCTGATGTTGCTCCTGAATTATCATCTGTTTTCGCTTCTGCAGCCTGTTGCAGCGCTTCGTCATTTTTCTTCAACGAAGCTTGTTTGGAGAGATAACTATAGCTACCTTTAGCCTTAAACAACTGAGAAAAGTGTGGCTTGCAGTATATGTATCCATCAAGAGCAGCATAGGATGAAGGGCTCAGAAAACATCCTGCATGTGTACACCTAAAGCATGATTTGTGGTAAAATTCACCTTCCACTGTCAACTGTCATAAACAAAATTCCACAAATTATGATCAGCAAAAATCTCCCACAAAAAACATTATCCCATCACACATTCACAATTTATTTTTCAAAGGCGTGTCCAACACATCAGTGTCAACATATCAGGGTCACTATCGTATCTGATATTACCTTTTCCAATGGATATACAGTTTTCTTGCATGACGAACATTTTTCTTGAGTCCCCGAGAAGAAAGCAGAAAGTTTGCTTGGGGCCCTAGGCTGTAAATCAAATGAAAAAAAAAAAAGATAATATAAACCGAAGACATATCGAAGAACAATATTGAAACATGAGTGAATAGAATACACACCAGTTCGCTGGGCTTTCCTGCGATTTAAAAATCATGAAACAATTAAACTTAAGTGATTATTTAACATTAAAAATACAATAAATAAGAAACTATAAACATAATTTGATATAGAAAAGTACATGAAAATTGATCTTATTATATACCTGACGGGGATTTCTTGAGTGCAGAATCCTTGAAAAGCTGCTCAGCATGAGTCTTGCAATACAAAACTCCTTCATTTGATGTATAGTTGCTCATCTGCAAATATAAATCATTATTCCAATATATTTGAATCGAACGTAACGTAACTCTTTGTTACAAAACCGATTTATAAGACGAACGATACAATTTTAAAATATATATATATACCGCAAGAAGGCCATTGCATTGGATACATCTGAAGCAGTTTTTGTGATAAACATTACCATCAGCCGATAATGTATCAACCAAATGAACAGTTTTATCGCAAGTTTTGCATTTCTGTTGGGTTCCGCTGAAAGACATGATTAATTATTATTTAATTTTGTTTAGTTTAATTTAATCTTTCCTCTCTCGTACTAGCTATGGTTATTGTAAATTTGCGTGAAGATAATTGAAAGCTAGCTAGCACGCAAAATGGTGAGAGGATAGAGTAAAAAACAAAGAGATTGAATTATATATATATAAGGTTTGATCCATCTTTCAAGTTTAAGAAATGGATGGAGTACATGAAGCTATAATTTTGCAAGTGTTTTTTGTCCTTTGGATTTTGCATGGACATAACACCATTAGTTAATCTTTGACCAGGTCATTTAATCACATTCATGAGTTAATTAGTTTTGATGATTTGTGAATATGCTACACATATCTATTTTAGGGAAATTGTTTTGGGTCTAAACTTGCTTTCATTAACTCCTCACCAAAATTAGCAAAATGTACCACGAAAAAACATCTAATATTACTATGATCAAATGTTTGCCTCCACATATCTTAACTTGATTTCTCCACAATTGTGAAATTTGAAGAATAATGTATAACTTAAAATATTACCGTGGTTGTCTTAATTTTTTTTGTTGAGATTTTATAGGTTAAACAATTAAATAACCTTATTTAACCATGGTTAAACGGTCACAAATATATTATAAAATTCTATTTAATTAAAGTTTAACTATAACAAATTTGAGACTCTATACTATAGTCTTTATTTTGCACACCCTTAAAGACAGTATTGATTATCGCGATAAATCAACAAAGTTGATTGTAATATAAAATATTTTGATATAGTGTCATATTGTAAAAGACTCGGACTGTCTAAAATCAAATTGACGGTCGAGATCATTTTACAGCATGAAATTAAGACATATTTTAATCATTCAATCTAAAATAAACGGCTATGATTAATCATAGTATGAAACTGTATGCAATCTCTATAGGGGAGAATCCTGATCCATGATAATCAGAAGATATAAATCTAAAAAAACAAAAATAAGAAATAGTTTTAAACTTCATTACAACATGAGTAGTATATGTGAACCACTTGAAGCTTTTATTGTAAGGGGCTTCTATGGGGGCTTCCCTTTCTTTTCCTTTTCCTTTTGGAAGGTTCAGAAGTTATCTCCTGTGTTTGCCGGGGAAGAGGACGAGGACGAGGACGAGGACGACTCTCGAGAGAAGGTCCCGAGGAAGACTCAATTATTATTATGCTAGCAGGATCCTCAGGTGCAGGCTTTTTCTCAAGTGCTACAACCTTATGAAAGTTCATTTAAGAAAAGATCAAACACATTAAATATAAGAATAGGAATGAAATAAAATTTAGGACAATAATATATAGTTTATACCTTGCAAGAAATGGAGCAGTAGCTATATAAATGAGGTGCATTAAACTTTTTTTTGCAAACTTTGCATGATTCTTCAACATTTGATGATAACTCAAAGACTTCGAGAGGATTCCGAGAAACAACCAATCGCTTGTTGCATTTGTATGTCTACAACCAGATAAACAAATCAAGGGACATAGTCAAAAACTGGTTCAAAAGGTTGAATTAATTTTTAGGATCTTTGGAAATATAAGTCACATTTAGGTTATAACAGATGAATATGTAACTATACTTTATAAGCTAATTTATCAACTAAGTATTCTATTCTAACTTATCAGCTACCTGATTATTATTTATATAATAGATAAATTATCAGATTGAATTTGTAATCTTTCGGAAAATGAATAGATGAATCAACAATATCAGAGAGAAAATTGAGAGAAAAAAGTAAGCAACAGTATACAAATTATTTGTGAATCACATAAGTTTTATTAGTGATGTGATATGAAAACACATAACCGTCTTTGAGAGTTTACAAGAAGACCCCAAACACATTGTCTCATTCCTTTTTTATAATTAAACTATTCAAAAAGAGTCTCCATGCAAATATTACAAAATTAATATACGGTTTAATAAGCATCTTAAACAAATTCATGTCACAACTAAAGTTAACTTCAACTTCTTATACATAATTTCTTGAAAGTTTGAAACGGCTCTGAGCACTGATTAATTACATGCACACAGAGACATTATATAACACAAATACCCCAACACTAACAATGTAATAAAAATAAGACACCAACAATATAACATATATGATAATATTTGAGTTTCATTTATTCATCTCTTATTAAAAAAATTTGAAAATATTTTAATAAAAATTAATGTTTTTAATTTTTCAATTATAACATTGGTTCAATACATATTTTACTCTTTTAGATGTGTGAAATTTATCAAAAAACGTATAAAGTATGTTGAAATAAAGAAAAAAATATTTTTTTTCTTGAAACACATATCTAAATTGTCTGACGTATTGTATGAGTGTCATACATATGTCACATATCAATTTAAAGATGGACTAGGCCAACATATGTCTTCGCTAGATGGACTAGGCCAACATATATTGCCGGTGGAGTATCGTACTATCCTAAGATACCGCCTTATGATTCCTTTATTTTCTATTGATGAGATTTATTTTGTTTGTCGTAAGGCATGTTTGGGTACATTTGGAGAACACACGATTCATTGTAGGAAACTTAAAGGCTTCAAATACCGACATGACCTTGTTAGGGATGTCTTGTTTGATATATTCCGACGTGCTGGAATATCTGTGAAGAAAGAGGTGTCGATAATTTTTTTGAGTGACCCACTTGAGGGGAGATCGACACTTAGACCAGCATATGTTTTGGTGTACGGATGGATAGGAGAGAAACACGCTTGTGTGGACTTGACGGGAGTTTCTCCACTAGTGGATTTGAGGGATGGTGGTTTTACTATGGGACAGAAAGCTCTCAAAGCTGCTTCCAATAAAGCAATCAAACATGAGAAACCGTGTTCTAAAAATCAACATGTTTTTATACCATCTGTCTTTGATACTTTTGGTTTCCTAGCATCAGAAGCAGTTGATCTTATACAGAGAGTTCAGAGACTTATGAATAACAATATTATATCTCTTAAGTCTATGGATATAGTTTTTAAGAGGATTGGTTTTGCGATCTAAAAAAAAAAATAACGATACAACTTGTTGTCCGCTTGTCTTCTATTTTTGTATTGACATAATTTTTCATGATTATATTCATATTTAAAAGACAAATTTTTTTTAAAGAATGTCAAAACAAAAAAAAAATTTGACAACACTTGTCAAACTTTTATAATACCTGTTTGATTTTTTCGACACATATCGTATATGTGTCATATAAGTGTCAGACACCGACCTACTCTTAGAAGTAGAGGTAACAAACAAGCATGCTCGCCCCGTTCAAGTCCACTTTACAAAATTCCACAAAAATATAGAACGGACCATACATTATACAGAGAACAAACTAAAAACCTAATCCACCCTTAAAAAAATGAGGACAAGGCGAACCCGCAAACATTGCATCTTTAAAATATAAAAATTGCAACACAAAAACATACAAACAAACCTGACATATTAAAAAGTATTAGACTAAAACTTTGATCCATTTCTAAAAATAAAATTTAATTGGTCAGATTTCTTTTGCCACCCTTATTAAACGTGGCCGGGCTTCATAGTTTGATGAAAAATATTTTGTACATAAATTTAAAGTCAAGCTATAAATCATACCTGAATTTGGGAACAATCAAAGTAATTCTCAATTGCACGCAGGGAGACAACATCCTTGTTAACATGTCTAGACACTTTAAGCAACTTATGATGGCGATGGAGACCAAAAGATACACAAAATTGACAGCATAACTTATTGCAATAAATACAATACTTATTTAACTGATTTCTACGAGTCTGGTGAAGAGAACATGAGCCAAAGAATTTTCTCTCTAGAAAATCCTCAAGCCACACTGGCTTTTTAACATTACTTTGGGTCCCATCCTGATCCTACAAGTTAAACCATTTCAGTAAGTTTATAATGAAAATCTACAGAAAATTGAAAATAAATGTTCATCTTTCTTCGATTAATATCATCTCATATGATCTTCAATAAATAAATACCAAAATTCTAAGTGATTTTCTACTATTTTGACAATAAATCATGTGATTTTGTGGCTTAGTTTAATCATGCTTTAAAATGAATGAATTGAAATGATAAATTATTGCAATAATAACACTAATGTGATTAAAGCTCGAAGGTTTTCAAAGATAATTATGGTAGCAACCAACATAGCAAATATTCCATGTAAATATAATTGAGATCAATAATGCAAAAAAACAACATGGAAGATTAAGACGCGTAATTGCAAAGTTATTTCAATTTATGTTCGAGTATTCCATATTTTAATGAAACACTATATATTGTAACAAAAATTAAAGAACTTGTTGATTTCAGAAGAACAGCTAATCACAAAAAAATTAGAATCATTTTTTAAAAATGAAAATGAAACGAGAATATATAACTAAGAGATTAATGCGAGTTAGTTGAATATTGCACTATTTAGCGTACAAGGAAGTACATAGGCAAAAAAAAAAAAACGAAGATCGCATACCATGTTGATTTTTGTAGAAGAAGAAGCACCCCTCGTGATTCCCGCACCTATTAAAATTTAAAACAAGTATAAAATTTGAGAATAATAAGATATTTAATGAAGAATTCAGATTTAATCGCATATGAATCTTACTCGTAGCCCAGAAGTAAAGGAAAGGGAGAGAAAGAGTAACCCTAAGCAGCCGTTTTGATATGAGGCTCACTTTCTGATAAAAACGAGTTCATATATTTGGTGCAGAAAAAAATAAATTTTGGTAAAGGCTAATTCGGTAGTCTCGATATCCAAAAACAAATGTCGTTTGCTGAGTTTTGTTACGACGCTTTATTATTAATCGTGAAAAAGTTCATATACTTTATAAAAAAAATGAAATCCAAATACATTGAACACTAAATAAATGAGGTTGAAGTTTTCTTCTTAACTTCCTTTTTCATATTGACAAACTAGTCTCAATGTAAAAAATGTTATTAGAAAAAGAGACTAGTTTCATCCTTAAGATCATCATATTTACTATTCCTTTATTGAAGACATATTACAAAATCTAGAAAAAGCCAATGCACAAATCTAAATATTTACTAAGACTTAGTGTACAAAAAAACGTTGAGTCTAATACTCCAAGATAATAAGAGAGAGATATTACAACTATATGTTAGTAATTTAAGTAAGTGAGTTAGTTAGTTAGCACATATTTATGCCTAAAAGCTGTAATATAAAAGAGGATAAGACTTTCAATTGTAACCAACTTTTGATCATTTTAATGAATCAAGAGAACAAAGAGGACATTGCTCTCTTTCTATTCTTTTACGTGATGTCAATTTTTCCTATATGTTCTTGTAGGTTCAATATGGTATTAGAAGAATTTTAATCTATTCTTTCATTTTTGATACCGATTGCAAGTTCTGATTTAGGTTTACGCACATCTCTTTTTCTTGATTCAATTTGTCTAATTCACTCTTATGAAAGATCTACAACAAAGTCCTTTCTTCATTCATCACTCTGATCATTATGGCCATGTTCTCGTCTCACACCTATTGATCAAAGAGAATTATCTATGATGGCGTTATGCGATGCTTATAGCTCGTGGTGTAAAGAACAAGACTGAATTCATTGATGGCTCATTTCCCTGCAACTTCCTGATGACGATCCTTAATAAGTGTTTGGCTTAGGATTGAAAGTGTTGTTGCTTCTTGGCTGTTAAATTTGGTTTCCAAAGAACTCACCGCTAACATCATCTACTTATCCAATGCAATGGTGATTTGGAATGATATTCAAAAATGTTTTCTTCAAAACAAAATTCCTCGTTAATTTCAGCTCTGTAAATATTTCATCGCATGTACTCAAGGAACTCTTTCAGTATGTGCTTTCTATTTTAAGATCAAAGTGCTTTGAGAGGAATTGGTTGAGTTTCTCCCAATTCACAATTACGTTTGTGGCGATGTTAATCTCTCGATCGATCACATCAATTATAAGTGTGTTCTAACTTTCTTGCTTGGTTTAATTGAAATTTACAATCAAATTTACAATCATATCCTTCTCATGGATCCATTGCCTTTGTTGAAATTGCTACAATTTCTAGATTATTCTTAAATATAACATGTATGAAAATGGTAGAAGAACCTAGAGATATAATGTGTATAAAAATGGTAGAAGAACCTAGAACTATAATGTGTATGAAAATGGTAGAAGAACCTAGAACTATTATGATACTAATATATCATGAAACATCTAGAAAGAACTAAAATAATATAGATACATTCACCACCATTGAGAAATTGGTGACTTGAGCCTATAAATAGGAAATTGATAGTTTGTAATTTATCATCCAAGAAACCAATGCCACAACCTTATTTCTAAAAATTTTTCTAAAACTACCAAATATAAAATTTTCAAATACCAACAGTGGCATCAAATCTATGTTTGGTCATACATTGTCAGCAGTTATATTACTTACCTATTATTCCAAAATCTTCGTAACCACTTCTAAATTTTTTCCTTGTAGTATTAACCAACTCCAACAATTTTTCTAAGCTATGGATAACATCAGACAATCATCATCTATTTTTCTACCTGTTCTTGCATAGAATAAATATCCAAATGGCTTCTCGTCTATTGTTAGAGAGAGCCACCAGAGTAAGTTTATAGGATGATTGGGGGATTCCGGAGCTACGTCAGTGAAGTGTGTGTCCCAAGATGTGTGTCTTGCTTATCCATCTATCAAGAGCTCCTTTATATAATATGTATCTTTTGAATCATCAAGAGACTTAGTTAATGAGTGACTCTTGGGTTCTATAAGTATATAACCTCTACTGTCTCCATTAATGGAGGAATTAAAGTTGTGTAACGCTGTAATGATTGCGCCACCAGAGGTTACATGCATTAATAAGCCGAGATGATAACTGGTCACAAGCAGGTGCATCTCGGCCACCTACCTTATTCGGGTCGATGATGATAGCGGGTTGCTACTCGGGTACGTGGATGATCTGATACTCCTTGAGCCAAGCGACACCTCAGATACCTTCGTCCCTGAGCCAACTACTGGTTTAACCTTTAGACTTGCCCATTACTCTACCCGATCGGGCCTATTATTTTTGGGATGTACATAAGCCCCCAAAATTCAAGTTCTTTCTTGTAAGAACACTGTATTCGGTCACATAGTCTCATAAGGTAATGCATACGCCACAAGGTTGCTACTCTATTCTGACCCACGTGTCGTGGAGTGAAGAGTCACCACTTTCTATTTCCTAAAGTAATGATGATTTCCACCTAAACCTCTGTTCATTGGATGACATTTCCCTCCCTTAGTGCACTATTCATTGGACTCTATTAAAGCCCTACTTTTCTTCCTTTCCTTTTTATCTCTAATATTGCAGAAGGTGTTACATCTTCAAAGACATTCAATCAACTTCAAGCGTTCTCCATTTTCCAGGTATTTTCTCTTATCCTTTCATTTTCGTTTTGCCTTTTAAATTATTGTTACCCTATGGGGGTGTGATGACGAAGGAAATATCGTGAAACCCTCTAACGTCGAGGAGAGGAAAGAGTTATGGGACCAATGCATGCGAGAGATGCAAGGTTTTCTAGATCAGGAGGGGTTTGATCAAATCACACGGGAAGTTTATGGTTTCACCCTTGCTTCTTTGAGTGATTCTGACCATGATTCTTCCTCCTCAGGTTCCATGGAATTTTTTATGGAAACTTCTGTCCCTTCAACCTTGAAGTCATGGGTTACAAGAATAGCGTGCTCGATGATACATAAATCACTAAACTTCGGTCTTTGATGACGATTTCCTTAACTGGTGAAGAAAGTGATATTATCCTAGAGGCGTGTGTTCCCGGGGATTGCGTATGTATGCTTCGTTGAAAGTGCACATATGAATACTTCTTTTATTTCTATGTTGGGGTCTTGGAAGGTTTCAGAGTCTGTATACCCTTCTCCGAGTTTGAGGCAGGTGTTTTGAAGGCCATGAATGTCGAGCCCTCACGACTTTGCTCCAACAGTCGGGGCTTTATAAAGGCCTTTGAGATAGTCTGTTAGGCGATGTATATCGTTCCCACATTCATTCTATTCTTATCATTTTATGAGGTAAAAGGGGACGAGAAGCTTTTATGGATCCAAGTTAATGGTCTTCCTCACAGAAGTTTCCTTCAGGTGTATACCTCCAACTATAAGGGTTTCAAGGAGCGGTTCTTGAAGGTGAAATATGGGTCGAGGTGCCCCCGAGTATTATACTCTTTGGGAGGGAAACCTTGCTTTCCTTTCTACTGGACCCGAGACCCCTCTCCTATATCTGGGTTTATGAGAAGTTGAGCGATTTGGAAGTCTAAGCTCTGACCGTACTTGATTCTTTCCGTATGATGAAGGTCTAAGATTTCTTATCTCTAACTGTTGAACATATTGCTAAATTCATTGGTAATAGCCTTTGTTTTTGTTTTAGCCATCACATGGTCTTATACAATACTTACACCATCTTTTTCTTTATTTACACACAAGATGACATATCTTTCAGTGGCAGAGCAGAATAAATTGATGATGGAGGTAAGGGCTGCCCGAAGGGGTGTAGGTGGGGCCTCCGCAGTCAAGTTAGACCTGTCTGGGATGGAGATCCGAACTTTATAGAAGCACAAAGGGTTAGGCTCTAAGGCTACCTCCAGCGTGGCTCAGCCCCAAGTTTCTTCTCCAGTCATCCAAGATGAGGTCCGGTAAGGTACCTCCAAAATTATTGTTACCCTCTAACGAGTGATGAGATTTGCCGAGCTAATATGAAAATTACCTCTCTGATGGGAGAACCCAGGGATAGCCATGCTTATGAAGAGTTCAATTTTTGGTCTAACAACTTCGATGGGCTCCACTTTCTCTATGATCATCTCAACTCCACCGAGGATGCCAACGGGGTTAACTCAGTTGGTCGACAGAAAATGACACAAAATATCAATTCTTATCTTATGAGTTGTGCAGCTCTGACCCGCAGTCTCTTTGAATCTTCTGATGATCATGAGGAGACGGAGTTGAAACTGAAGGATGAGATAACCCGGCTGAAGGAGGCTCAGAAGGCTCAGTCTGAGAAGATGTCTGACGTGGAGAAAGCCTTAGTTAAGGAGAACTAGCGCATGGAAACTTTGGAGTCTGAGAGTAAAGTCTCTCTCACTCAACTTGACGAAAGGTTGAAGATGGAGAAAGCCATCAATGATGAGCTGACGACCATCACCGACGAGTTGAGGGAAGCCCTTAAGAAGTCTCGGGTGGACGCTCTTTCTATTGGTGATAACACCTTTGAGCGGGCCAAGGACCATATATTGTGCCTTCATTCCGGCCTGGCCATATCGGAGATGGACTACTTTAAGGTGGTGTAAAATGGCCTCCTAGTATATCTCAAAGACATGGAGAAGACTCCATCTCCTCATCCAAATCTTGAAGATTCTTCCGCCAGGGAGAATGTTAACAACGATGATGCCTGGAAAGAAGACCCTACCGCGTGATGATTTGTTATGTGTTTCTGTTAGTCATCCGATAAGGATGAATCTATGTAATTTTTTGTAAGGAGTGGTTCTCCATCCTGTTTGTTACTTTTTAAACTATTGTAACACCCCATTTTCCCATATGAATATTTATAATGAAATATACGACAAATGCATCAGAGTTCATAATAGGATGCCACATAAATCATAAAATCTGTAAAGTCCTCAAAATACTTTATTACTTCATGTATCCAAAAATGGTTATTCGGCAGCAGAAAATCAACATAAAAGTAGGTCATTGGTATTCTAGCCTTAACAACAATTCAAATTCATAATACGTAGTCCATCATAAGTTTAAAAGAAAATGTGCAACATTTGAAATCATGCAAAACATAATGAAAATCCCAAATCCCATGTTACATATCAGAGCGACTCCTAAGATTCGATCTGGTAACATCACTTCAAGCACTACTCAGATACCTGATTATCTGTACTCTCGAAGAGTATAGATACACCAACACAAAAGGGGTGAGAATTTCATTCAATAATTACACGGTGAAATAAAACATGCTAAGGAGTAGTAAATCACAACATACAAAAAATTCATCACAAATAACCATCATCACATCATACAACATCAATTCAGTGTTTATGTAATGCAATAGTCCTACATCAACATGCATGTGGTACCATCAAGGCACAAGCCTTCAACTCAATGCCAATTGGGCAATAACAGAGCATAAGCCCTCAACACAACGCCAATCCAGGCCAACATCAGGGCATAGGCTCTCATCCATGAATGCATGCAATATGAACATGCAACAACATGAAATCATACAACCACACGGCACAAGCCTTCATCACCATGGCAATTTAATCCATTTGCATCATCCTCATCATAATCACCAACATTGCCTCATACCAACATCATCAACAAAAGAACATGGCAAGAAAACAACCCACC